GTGATGTCTGGCTGCCACCACCTGCTCCCTGGGTGATGCCTGGCTGCCACCACCTGCTCCCCGGGTGATGCCTGGCTGCCACGACCTGCTCCCTGGGTGATGCCTGGCTGCCACGACCTGCTCCCTGGGTGATGCCTGGCTGCCTTCATCTGCTCCCCGGGTGATGCCTGGCTGCCACCACCTGCTCCCCGGGTGATGCCTGGCTGCCACCACCTGCTCCCTGGGTGATGCCTGGCTGCCACCACCTGCTCCCTGGGTGATGCCTGGCTGCCACCACCTGCTCCCTGGCTGATGCCTGGCTGCCACCACCTGCTCCCTGGGTGATGCCTGGCTGCCACCACCTGCTCCCCGGGTGATGCCTGGCTGCCACCACCTGCTCCCTGGGTGATGCCTGGCTGCCACCACCTGCTCCCTGGGTGATGCCTGGCTGCCACCACCTGCTCCCTGGGTGATGCCTGGCTGCCACCACCTGCTCCCCGGGTGATGCCTGGCTGCCACCACCTGCTCCCCGGGTGATGCCTGGCTGCCACCACCTGCTCCCTGGGTGATGCCTGGCTGCCACCACCTGCTCCCTGGGTGATGCCTGGCTGCCACCACCTGCTCCCTGGGTGATGCCTGGCTGCCTTCATCTGCTCCCTGGGTGATGCCTGGCTGCCTTCATCTGCTCCCTGGGTGATGCCTGGCTGCCTTCATCTACTCCCTGGGTGATGCCTGGCTGCCTTCATCTGCTCCCTGGGTGATGCCTGGCTGCCTTCATCTGCTCCCTGGGTGATGCCTGGCTGCCACCACCTGCTCCCTGGGTGATGCCTGGCTGCCACCACCTGCTCCCTGGGTGATGCCTGGCTGCCACCACCTGCTCCCTGGCTGATGCCTGGCTGCCACCACCTGCTCCCCGGGTGATGCCTGGCTGCCACCACCTGCTCCCCGGGTTATGCCTGGCTGCCACCACCTGCTCCCCGGGTGATGCCTGGCTGCCACCACCTGCTCCCCGGGTGATGCCTGGCTGCCACCACCTGCTCCCCGGGTGATGCCTGGCTGCCACCACCTGCTCCCTGGGTGATGCCTGGCTGCCACCACCTGCTCCCCGGGTGATGCCTGGCTGCCACCACCTGCTCCCCGGGTGATGCCTGGCTGCCACCACCTGCTCCCTGGGTGATGCCTGGCTGCCACCACCTGCTCCCTGGGTGATGCCTGGCTGCCACCACCTGCTCCCTGGGTGATGCCTGGCTGCCACCACCTGCTCCCTGGGTGATGCCTGGCTGCCATCACCTGCTCCCCGGGTGATGCCTGGCTGCCACCACCTGCTCCCCGGGTTATGCCTGGCTGCCACCACCTGCTCCCTGGGTGATGCCTGGCTGCCACCACCTGCTCCCTGGGTGATGCCTGGCTGCCACCACCTGCTCCCTGGATGATGCTTGGCTGCCACCACCTGCTCCCTGGGTTATGCCTGGCTGCCACCACCTGCTCCCCGGGTGATGCCTGGCTGCCACCACCTGCTCCCTGGGTGATGCCTGGCTGCCACCACCTGTTCCCTTGGTGATGCCTGGCTGCCACCACCTGCTCCCTGGGTGATGCCTGGCTGCCTTCATCTGCTCCCTGGCTGCCACCACCTGCTCCCTGGGTGATGCCTGGCTGCCTTCATCTGCTCCCTGGGTGATGCCTGGCTGCCTTCATCTGCTCCCTGGGTGATGCCTGGCTGCCTTCATCTGCTCCCCGTGTGATGCCTGGCTGCCACCACCTGCTCCCTGGGTGATGCCTGGCTGCCTTCATCTTCTCCCCGTGTGATGCCTGGCTGCCACCATCTGTTCCCCGTGTGATGCCTGGCTGCCACCACCTGCTCCCTGGCTGCCACCACCTGTTCCCCGGGTGATGCCTGGCTGCCTTCATCTTCTCCCCGTGTGGTGCCTGGCTGCCACCACCTGCTCCCCGGGTGATGCCTGGCTGCCACCACCTGCTCCCTGGCTGCCACCACCTGTTCCCCGGGTGATGCCTGGCTGCCACCACCAGCTCCCTGGCTGCCACCACCTGCTCCCTGGCTGCCACCACCTGCTCCCTGGCTGCCACCACCTGCTCCCTGGCTGCCACCACCTGCTCCCTGGCTGCCACCACCTGCTCCCTGGCTGCCACCACCTGCTCCCTGGCTGCCACCACCTGCTCTCCGGGTGATGCCTGGCTGCCACCACCTGCTCCCCGGGTGATGCCTGGCTGCCACCACCTGCTCCCCGTGTGATGCCTGGCTGCCACCACCTGCTCCCCGGGTGATGCCTGGCTGCCAACACCTGCTCCCCGTGTGATGCCTGCTGCCACCACCTGCTCCCCGGGTGATGCCTGGCTGCCACCACCTGCTCCCCGGGTGATGCCTGGCTGCCACCACCTGCTCCCCGGGTGATGCCTGGCTGCCACCACCTGCTCCCCGGGTGATGCCTGGCTTCCACCACCTGCTCCCCGGGTGATGCCTGGCTGCCACCACCTGCTCCCCGGGTGATGCCTGGCTGCCACCACCTGCTCCCCGGGTGATGCCTGGCTGCCACCACCTGCTCCCTGGGTGATGCCTGGCTGCCACCACCTGCTCCCCGGGTGATGCCTGGCTGCCACCACCTGCTCCCCGGGTGATGCCTGGCTGCCACCACCTGCTCCCCGGGTGATGCCTGGCTGCCACCACCTGCTCCCCGTGTGATGCCTGGGAGATGATATTTGATGTGATAAACACACACATCTTGACTGTTTACACGTACACAAGTGCCTTGTTGACTGTGGACACTTAAGTTACCTTTAACCTCGCTCGGGGTGGTGTGTTGACGTCGCCGTGGCCGCTGAAGAAGACGCTGGCGCCCAGCCGGCGCCCTGGCGGCGCCCTGGCCGCCATTGGGGAGACCCGGGTCTGGCCGGGCCTCCTACAAATGTCAAATGAATGCCAGCACTGGCACGGTCATTCTCCTGCAGCGTGTTGCGACTGGAGATCGGGAAGTCAAAGATTGCTTGACGGTATTAAGTAGTTCCTCGAGACGCAAGGTTGTTCTGTCGTCGTGATTGATACGTTCATTTGACGAGGTCGTGGTCGTCGTCGTCATTCTATTAAGAGTAGTTAAGGTCACGATGGTAGGGTCATTCCATCTTGGATATTTCTTCGCCAGTGGCCCATGTTGAGGCATACATTCCCACTCCGCGCTTCTGTAATAGCTCGTGGATATTTGGATATGGTGTCTTGAAGTGTAGTAGCGACATGTCCCTTTGTCTCTGGTGTGGTGACCTTGGTCATTCTTAGACATATTGCTCTTCTCCTCAAGCTGGCTGCATCAGTCCTCACCCACCATGCCGCCTCTCATACATACACGCATGTACTATACATGTAAACAAAACATCATCAACTTAAAAACATTTGCAATCTTATATCTTTCCCTGAGGCAAGACGCTAGATCCGCTATCTTAATTCTTTCTCTGACATGACTTATACTCTTGCATTCCATCGTACTACTCTTCCCAAACGTTCTTCCCTCCCCGAGTTCCAGAAACGTTTCAAAACCTTCAACCTCGACACCACCATCTCCCACCTTCCGTTCCTCTTCACTTCGAGGCCGACGGTGTTCCTCACAGTTCGCTGACTGGCATTCCACCCTTCCTTCACAGTCTTCTCCTTCACACAGTATTTGTGCCACTTCTCCACCCCCCCTCCACCTATCAACTGTGACCTCCTTCACCTTTCGATACCGTATCTCTTCTCAGCCCTCCCTTCTGCCGTCTGACCCTCCTGGACAAATCTTTGCCCGGCCCGTTCTTCAAACCTCCTCCCAGATTTCATATTGTCTGCTGTCGTTCCCCGTCCGTGCCTGAGACTGTAGAAGCTGTCACACATTACAGTCTCACAGGCATGCACTAGCACGCCTCTCTCTCTCAAAAATGTAAATGTGGTTCCTCTCAATGAAGGCTTCAGTCCTTCCCTCCAATGTCCACTTCCCGGTTTTGTTCCTGCATGTCCTGCCAGCTCGGTGGTGGAGTCACTGGACCTCGCTGTTCCCGGAGCCCGTGTTGCTACCTCTGGTGCTGTCCCTGAGACATTGCTGGCTCCTGTTGCTGTTCTCATCTTTATTATGTATATATTCTTCACTGGTTGTACGTGATTTGAGTTTTCATGAACTCTTTGAGTTGGTTTCTGATCTTACAGTTACCACGACCAACAATGGTCGTGTCACCCTCCCACAGCAACAATAACTGGTCGTGTCACCCTCCCACAGCAACAATAACTGGTCGTGTCACCCTCCCACAGCAACAATAACTGGCCGTGTCACCCTCCCACAGCAACAATAACTGGCCGTGTCACCCTCCCACAGCAACAATAACTGGTCGTGTCACCCTCCCACAGCAACAATAACTGGTCGTGTCACCCTCCCACAGCAACAATAACTGGTCGTGTCACCCTCCCACAGCAACAATAACTGGCTGTGTCATCCTCCCACAGCAACAATAACTGGTCGTGTCACCCTCCCACAGCAACAATAACTGGTCGTGTCACCCTCCCACAGCAACAATAACTGGCTGTGTCATCCTCCCACAGCAACAATAACTGGTCGTGTCACCCTCCCACAGCAACAATAACTGGCTGTGTCACCCTCCCACAGCAACAATAACTGGCTGTGTCATCCTCCCACAGCAACAATAACTGGCTGTGTCACCCTCCCACAGCAACAATAACTGGTCGTGTCACCCTCCCACAGCAACAATAACTGGTCGTGTCACCCTCCCACAGCAACAATAACTGGTCGTGTCACCCTCCCACAGCAACAATAACTGGCTGTGTCATCCTCCCACAGCAACAATAACTGGTCGTGTCACCCTCCCACAGCAACAATAACTGGTCGTGTCACCCTCCCACAGCAACAATAACTGGTCGTGTCACCCTCCCACAGCAATAATAACTGGTCGTGTCACCCTCCCACAGCAACAATAACTGGCTGTGTCACCCTCCCACAGCAACAATAACTGGCTGTATCACCCTCCCACAGCAACGCCCAGAGCGACAGACGGTGTGTGGGACGCTGCGTCACGGAGCTAATTGGAAGTGCTTCATACTCACCTTACTCATCGTCTCCTGCCTCGCCTCCATCACCTGGTGCAGACTCACCCAGGTACTGTGTCCTGCCTCACCCAGGTACTGTGTCCTGCCTCACCCAGGTACTGTGTCCTGCCTCACCCAGGTACTGTGTCTTGCCTCACCCAGGTACTGTGTCCTGCCTCACCCAGGTACTGTGTCCTGCCTCACCCAGGTACTGTGTCCTGCCTCACCCAGGTACTGTGTCCTGCCTCACCCAGGTACTGTGTCTTGCCTCACCCAGGTACTGTGTCCTGCCTCACCCAGGTACTGTGTCCTGCCTCACCCAGGTACTGTGTCCTGCCTCACCTGCCTCACCTGCCTCACCCAGGTACTGTCCTGCCTCACCTGCCTCACCCAGGTACTGTCCTCCCTCCCCTGCCTCACCCAGATACTGTGTCCTGCCTCACCCAGATACTGTATCCTGCCTCACCCAGGTACTGTGTCCTGCCTCGCCTGCCTCACCCAGGTACTGTCCTCTCTCCCCTGCCTCACCCAGGTACTGTCCTCCCTCCCCTGCCTCACCCAGGTACTGTCCTGCCTCACCTGCCTCACCCAGGTACTGTCCTGCCTCACCTGCCTCACCCAGGTACTGTCCTCCCTCACCTGCCTCACCCAGGTACTGTCCTCTCCCCTGCCTCACCCAGGTACTGTCCTCCCTCCCCTGCGTTACCCAGGTACTGTCCTGCCTCACCCAGGTACTGTCCTCCCTCCTCTGCCTCACCCAGGTACTGTCCTCCCTCCCCTGCCTCACCCAGGTACTGTCCTGCCTCACCCAGGTACTGTCCTCCCTCCCCTGCCTCACCCAGGTACTGTCCTCCCTCACCTGCCTTACCCAGGTACTGTGTCCTGCCTCACCTGCCTCACCCAGGTACTGTCCTCCCTCACCTGCCTCACCCAGGTACTGTGTCCTGCCTCACCTGCCTCACCCAGGTACTGTCCTCCCTCACCTGCCTCACCTAGGTACTGTCCTCCCTCACCTGCCTCACCCAGGTACTGTCCTGCCTCACCCAGGTACTGTCCTGCCTCACCCAGGTACTGTCCTCCCTCACCTGCCTCACCCAGGTACTGTCCTCCCTCCCCTGCCTCACCCAGGTACTGTGTCCTGCCTCGCCTGCCTCACCCAGGTACTTTCCTCCCTCACCTGCCTCACCCAGGTACTGTGTCCTGCCTCGCCTGCCTCACCCAGGTACTGTCCTCCCTCCCCTGCCTCACCCAGGTACTGTCCTGCCTCACCCAGGTACTGTCCTCCCTCCCCTGTCTCACCCAGGTACTGTCCTCCCTCCTCTGCCTCACCCAGGTACTGTCCTCCCTCCCCTGCCTCACCCAGGTACTGTCCTGCCTCACCCAGGTACTGTCCTGCCTCGCCTGCCTCACCCAGGTACTGTCCTCCCTCACCTGCCTCACCCAGGTACTGTGTCCTGCCTCGCCTGCCTCACCCAGGTACTGTCCTCCCTCCCCTGCCTCACCCAGGTACTGTCCTGCCTCACCCAGGTACTGTCCTCCCTCCCCTGCCTCACCCAGGTACTGTCCTCCCTCCTCTGCCTCACCCTGGTACTGTCCTCCCTCCCCTGCCTCACCCAGGTACTGTCCTGCCTCACCCAGGTACTGTCCTGCCTCACCTGCCTCACCCAGGTACTGTCCTGCCTCACCCAGGTACTGTCCTCCCTCACCTGCCTCACCCAGGTACTGTCCTCCCTCCTCTACATCACCCAGGTACTGTCCTCCCTCACCCAGGTACTGTCCTCCCTCCCCTGCCTCACCCAGGTACTGTCCTGCCTCACCCAGGTACTGTCCTCCCTCCCCTGCCTCACCCAGGTACTGTCCTGCCTCACCCAGGTACTGTCCTCCCTCCCCTGCCTCACCCAGGTACTGTCCTGCCTCACCCAGGTACTGTCCTCCCTCCCCTGCCTCACCCAGGTACTGTCCTGCCTCACCCAGGTACTGTCCTGCCTCACCCAGGTACTGTCCTGCCTCACCCAGGTACTGTCCTGCCTCACCCAGGTACTGTCCTCCCTCCCCTGCCTCACCCAGGTACTGTCCTCCCTCACCTGCCTCACCCAGGTACTGTCCTCCCTCACCTGCCTCACCCAGGTACTGTGTCCTGCCTCACCTGCCTCACCCAGGTACTGTGTTCTGCCTCACCTGCCTCACCCAGGTACTGTCCTGCCTCACCTGCCTCACCCAGGTACTGTCCTCATTCCCCTGCCTCACCCAGGTACTGTCCTCCCTCCCCTGCCTCACCCAGGTACTGTCCTCCCTCACCTGCCTCACCCAGGTACTGTGTCCTGCCTCACCCAGGTACTGTCCTGCCTCACCTGCCTCACCCAGGTACTGTCCTCATTCCCCTGCCTCACCCAGGTACTGTCCTCACTCCCCTGCCTCACCCAGGTACTGTCCTCCCTCACCTGCCTCACCCAGGTACTGTCCTCCCTCACCTGCCTCACCCAGGTACTGTCCTCCCTCACCTGCCTCACCCAGGTACTGTCCTCCCTCACCTGCCTCACCCAGGTACTGTCCTCCCTCACCTGCCTCACCCAGGTACTGTGTCCTGCCTCACCTGCCTCACCCAGGTACTGTCCTCTCTCCCCTGCCTCACCCAGGTACTGTCCTGCCTCACCCAGGTACTGTCCTGCCTCACCCAGGTACTGTCCTCCCTCCCCTGCCTCCCCTAGGTACTGTCCTCCCTCGCCTGCCTCACCCAGGTACTGTCCTCCCTCACCTGCCTCACCCAGGTACTGTGTCCTGCCTCACCCAGGTACTGTCCTCCCTCACCCAGGTACTGTCCTCTCTCCCCTGCCTCACCCAGGTACTGTCCTCTCTCCCCTGCCTCACCCAGGTACTGTCCTGCCTCACGCAGGTACTGTCCTCCCTCCGCTGCCTCCCCTAGGTACTGTCCTGCCTCACCCAGGTACTGTGTCCTGCCTCACCCAGGTACTCTGGGGTCCCAAAGCACATTCTGGGACCCCAGAACATTAACAATCATATGTAAATTAAAGATATAAGTCTATTATGACCACTGAGAGAGGTTTATGGGATTTATTTAAAACACAAGGGTTTTGTGGTTGGAAATTTCTCTCCAAAATGTGAATAACTCAGTAGATATTCTCCTGTTGTAGCTATTCAATTAGTTTGACTGTTTTACATGTGCACTTAAGGAATGATGGCCAAACAATTATGTGGTAACTCTCTACTGTTGACAATTATTTGCGTGGAAGATTGTGTCAATGGTAAGGTATTGTCTTGTTAAAATGTGGAAGAGCATATTATCTGGGGCGTTGCATATAGTTATTATGGTGGTAATGTTGTGTACTGGTGCAGACAAGGTAGCTAGAGCCAGCCAGCCAGCCGCCTCACCTTTCTCGCCTTCTGCAGGTCCCGAAGGTGGTGGTGAACTTCGACACCTTCCCCATCACCAGGACGCGCCTGCTGAGCCCTTGTGAGGACGGCTATCTCTACATCCCTGTGGCCTTCCTGGTCATGCTCTACCTCGTCTACCTGGTCGAGTGCTTCCACTGTCCCACCAGGATCCAGGTGAGCGCCACCTGCTCAAGTTGATAGTATATGAGACTATCTTAGGGGTAAGGCAGAGGACTCGAACCTGCATCCTGGATCGATTCCTCTGCCAGGCTTCTAAGATTGTGTACTAATGGTATGACTTTAACTGAACCCGTGGGTGTGATGTGGTCAAGGAGAATAGCCCTGAAATATTCATGGGAGGTGGTGCGGTGTCCTTATCTACCCTATCAATTTCTTGTATGTTGTGGTCATGTCTTCCCTAGCGCTTTCCCCTCCCTGTCCAGCTCGTTGCTGCCGTGAGGGGGCTTGGTGGGCGGCTGCCTGAGTGTGATGTTCCTTGGGGCAGTCCCCCTGTTCTTTTGTAGCCTTGTGCTCCTGCTGCTGTCCTCTCAAATTTTCTGAACGCCTTTTCCTTTTATTTCGTTTTTCTCCCCCCCCCCCCTCTTCTCCTTTTTCGTTGTCATTTCCTGCTGACCTTGTGCCTATTTTGATCATTCTTTTGGTCTTCTTTTGTTTTGACGCCCGGGTGTTTGAGGAGGCATACTCTTGCACCCATTGAACTGTAGTACCCAACATCTCGAGCGAGGGGAACCTTTTATTGTCAATTCCCCTTTCGTCACTGAACCCGATCTCGACGGACTGACGGAAGGTGGCGTTTGTGGGGCGTATACTTACAACGCACCCCTAGGTGGCCTCGACTTGATCGGCGATAGCTTCTTGTTGGGTGTCCTACCTCTAATTGTGGCTCCATGGTGGGTGTGGGGGCACATTCGTGAATGAAAGTCTTTCTTTTCGTGTCTCTGTTGATGAATGTTCCTCTTGTACCCTCTCAGGCTCGTGGGGTGGGTGACCAAGCAACTGAGTCGGACTGTATTGGAAGACCTGGCTCTGTAGCCCCCGCTGTGTTGGGCCCCTGACCCTGCTCCTCCTTTGACCCTCCTGACTACTCCCTTCGGCTCCCCTCCCTCCTCTGTGGTTGGGTCGAGCCCCAAGCCTCCAGTGGTGACCACCTCGTCCCCTGGCACGGCTCAGTCTCTAGTTGAGACTGCTGCGTCTTTTAACCCCTCTCTCTCTCTGGGAGTTCTCAACACCGTCCTCGATATGGCCACACTCGCTCGATTCCTTCCCGTGCTGATGCGTATAAGGCCTTGTTTGGTCCCGCTTCGTGAGCCAAATACTTCGATCTCCTCCCTCTTGATTCTGCGCCTCCTGACGATTTCTCCCTTCACACGCACCTTGTTGATTCCGTAGATGCCTCTGTTACTTTCCACCCCACCCGTCTCGGTGCACCTGTCGTTGCTGCTCCTTCTCAGGATGCAGCCTCCCGCTTGGCCACCTTGTCCTGCCTTGGCAAGACCCCTGTTCTTGTCTCCAAGAACACTCGGTTGAATGCCAGTGTTGGCACTATTCTCCTCCCACCCCATGTTGCAACCAGTGTTCGGAATCTCCAGGACTGCCACAAGGATATTCGTTATATCCTCGATGCCCAGGGTTATTCTGTCCTCCAGGTAGTCTCGTTTACTCGTCCCCCTCGTGGTCGTCGCCGTCAACCCCCTTCGGGTTGTGAAGATTACCTTTGATGGTAGGACCCTTCCGCCGTCTGTCATTCTTGCTGGTGCCAGGTGCTCCGTCCAGGAGTACATTCCCTCTCCTTAACTCTATAGTAAGTGCTGGAGGTTTGGGCATGGTGCCCTCCGCTGCTCTGGAACTGTCTCTCTCTGTCCTTTGTGTGGGGGCGAAGGTCACTCTAAGTCCGAGTGCACTTCTCCCCAGGCTCGCTGCCACAATTACGGTGAGGCCCACCCTACCTTCTCCCGTGCGTGTATACATTACAAGCTTAAGGCAACTGTCCTTAACTTGAAGCACCTGGAGCATTTATCTTTTCCTGAGGCGAGGTGCCAGGTTCGCCAGCTCCCGCCTTATGCTCGAGTGTTGCGCTCTGCCTCTCCTTGTCCTTCCCACCTTCCTCAGACTCGAAACCGTTTCCAGGCCTTGGACCCTGATGCGCCCACCGCTCCCTCCTCTGTTCCATTGAGTTCTGTCCCGAAGGGTCCCCCTCCTGGTCCTCTGTCTGGGGTTCCCCTTCTTCCTGCTCGGTCTGTCATGTCTCCTATGTCTGCTTCCTCGTCTCCCTCCGATCCTCCTTCCCATCCTTCTCCTCCGCCTATTGGCTCTCCACGCCACCTGTTGGTACGGGCTGATGTCCATCGCTCTCCCAACGTCCGTCGTATATGCTCTCGTTCAGCTTCTCCTGTTGAGACGTTGGAATCCTTTGCCCAGTACGTAGTTGCTGGGACGCCTGTCTCTTTGAGTCAGAAGTGTAAGCCTGGCTCCTCTTCTACCTCCTCCCCGACGGGTAAAAAGGCTTTGCTTTCTTCCTCGCCCACTACGTCTGACTCTCTCGCTCCGTCCCCTCCCATTTCAGTGGTTCCGCCCTCTGTTCTTGCTATGGAGGTCTCTTTAGCCCCCACTTCCCTCTCGGTTGGTGCCCTTGCTGAAGTGCATCCCCTTGTTTCTGTCCCTCCTGCTGCTGTCCTTGACCCTTTTGTTATCCCCCCTCTTCCTCCTCCGGACCCTGCTCGTCCGCCCCTGGTTGGTCCTCTAGGTACCTTTCCTCCTTCTTTACTCAGTTTACCTATGCACTCTAACCCTGACTTCGCTGACCCTGATCCTGGTTCTTGATGACCTCCATGGCAGTGACCATTTCCACATCCTTGTTACGTTTTTTCTCTTTTCACCCTCCTCTCTCCTTCCCTAGGTGGCAGTTTGCTAAGGCAGACTGGAACCTATTTACCCTCAGTGCTGCTCTCTCTGACTTCTCCCTTCTGCCTCTCCCTCGCTCTCTCCTCCTTTTTCATGACACCGTCTTCAACACTGCCCTCCGCTCTATTCCTTGCTCTTCCTCTCGGGGCCCACGGAAGTGCGTTCTCTGGTGGAATACAGACTGTGCTTGGGCTGTCTGCTATAAGCGTGCAGCCTGGAAGAGACACCGCCGCCGGCAGACAGCCGATTCTTTTCTTTTATTTCGGAAGGCGAGTGTGGTGGACCATAGGGCCATCCATACGGCTAAACATAATTGTTGGGCATCTTATGTCTCCACCATTACGTCTGAAACTCCTCTGCCACAGATCTGGAAGCGTATCCGCAAGATAGCGGATAAGTTTGTTCCCGATGTCTCATCGGTCCTTCACCTCCGTGGTACTCTTGTGGCGGACCTATTGCAGGTCGCTACCGAACTGTGTTCCCACTTTTCTTCTGTTAGCTCTGGTTTTCATCTTTCGCAATCTTTCCTCCTTCGTAAACCTGTCCTTGAGTCTTGTCCTTTGGATTTCTGTACTCATCTTCGCATTCCCTATAACGATCCCTTCTCTCTCTCTGAACTTCAGTCTGCCCTGGCCCTCTGCGGTTCTACGGCAACGGGCTCCAATGGCATTCACTACGAGATGCTTCGCCATCTCCCTTCGTGCACGTCTTAGTATTTACTGAGTCTGTATAATCGGATCTGGGAGTCGTCGTCAGTCCCTGAGGACTGGCTCGATGCCGTTGTCCTCCCTGTTTGCAAACCAGGGTCTCTGGGAACATCCCCTAAGGACTTTCGCCCTTTTGCCCTCACACTTGTGTCTGCAAACTCTTTCAACGTATGGTTAACGTTCGTCTAATGTGGTTCTTGGAACACCATCACCACCTCTCCCCTTCTCAATTTGGTTCCCGCAAGTGCTGCAGCACGACAGATGTCCTGGTGAACATGGAGGTCTATATTCGTGTTGCTTTTGCTGCGAAGACCTCCGTTGTTGCCGTTCTTTTTGACTTGGAAAAGGCTTACGACACCACTTGGCGATATCATATTCTATCCCAGCTTTATTCTTTTGGCCTTCGTGGTCACCTCCCTCTCTTTCTCCGCAGCTTCCTCTCTCGTCGTTCCTTTTGGGTGTGGCTTGGTACCGCACTCTGCCTCTTTTCAGCAATACGAAGGTGTGCCCCAGGGTAGTGTTCTGAGTACTACTCTTTTTCTGGTTGCCCTCAATGGTCTTCTTTCCTCTCTTCCTTCAGGTGTCTTCTCCGCTCTCTATGTCGATGATCTTACCTTTTGCTGTCAGGGTGATGATTCGCCTCTCCTTTAACGCCGGCTTCAACTTGCGATTGATGCCGTGTCGTCTTGGGCCACCGATCATGGCTTCAAGTTCTCTGCGACTAAGACTTGTGCCATGACTTTTACTCGGAAACGGATCATTCTTCGCCCCTCTTTGTCACTTTATGATCATCCCCTTGATTACAAAGATTCCGCGAAGCTTTTGGGGTTATTCTTTGACACTTGTTTGTATTGGTCTCCCCATATCACTTACCTCCATGTTGAGTGCTCTAAGGCCCTTACCCTCCTTCGGGTATTGTTCCATACTTCTTGGAGAGCGGATAGGCGCACTCTCCTCGCTTTACATTCCTCTCTCATCCTGTCTAAGCTCGATTATGGTTGCCCTGCTTATTCGTCTGCTTCTCCTTCTACTCTTCGCCGTCTTGATGCTTTGCACCATACTGGGTTGCGCCTCAGTTCTGGTGCTTTTTGTTCGACTCCCGTCCTTAGCTTGTATGTTGACACTGGCTTCCTACCTCTCCAGGACCGCCGTGATCGCTACTGTCTTTGCTATCTTGCGCGGTTTTTGCAACATCCTTCCTCTCGCCTCTGTCGTGCTTTAACTGTTACCCCTCCTGTGGTTCCTGTTCCTCTTCACCACCTCCCTCTTTCTGTCCGGTTGTTTCGTTTACAGGATTCTCTTTCCGTTTGTATTTCTAATATTTCTCCTCGTGTTGTTCCTTCTTTGCCCCCGTGGAGAGTCCCCCTTTCACAGTTTTGTACATCCTTGACCCGCATCTCTAAAGCTTTTACCCCTCCTACGGTTCTAAAACGCCTTTTTCTTGAGCACTTTTCTTCTCACTCCCGCTCCGTTTCCGTCTTCACCGATGGGTCTAAGTCTGCGGACGGTGTTGGTTGCTCAGTTGTTTTTCCTGATTGCCCTTATATGTGTCGCTCACCTCCGGAGACTAGCATCTTCACAGCGGAGCTTTATGCTATTCTCTATGCTCTTCATCTCCTGCTTTCTCGTTGTCTATCTTCCTTTGTAGTTGTTGTTGACTCGTAGTGCCCTCAAGGCTCTCGGGTCCTTTAATCCGGTTTATCCAGTGGTTGTCGAGATCCACCATTGGCTGTTTCTTGTTCACAGTAAATTTAAGTCGGTTGAGTTTTGTTGGGTTCCCAGCCATATTGGTGTCTCTTTAAATGAGCATGCGGATGCTGCTGTCAGGGAAGCTGTCCGCTCTTGTCCCATCTCATGTAAAGGTATTCCTTATTCCGACTTTTACCCGGTTATCCATTCCTCCATCCTTACCCGTTGGCAGGCTTGTTGGTCGCCTGTTACTGGTAACAAACTGTGTACTCTTAAAAGTTTAGTGGCTGTCCTCCTACCACGTAACCGGCGATGGGAAAGGCTCTGGCAAGGTTTGGCCATACTCGCTTAACTCACGGTCACTTGATGGAGCGCCACCCTGCTCCTTATTGTCCATATTGCATTGTCCCTCTTACGGTCGTGCATATCCTTGTTGAATGTCCTGACTTCCAGGACGAGCGTGTGTCTTGTTTTCCGACCGTCTCCCGCGGTCGCTTGTCTCTCGATTGTATTCTTGGTGACTCGGATACTTTTGATATCATTCGCCTTATGCGTTTCTGTTCTCGTATTGGCATCCTTGGTGATATTTAGCGCCCTCTGATTATCCCTCACATTTGATGGTGCTTCCTTCACGGTTTGGTGCCTTCCTTTGATAATTACTTACTTACTACCCTAGCGCTTCTGTCTTCCAGCAATGTGTGGTTTAGTTCCCGTAGAAGTTTCCTCCTAGCTCATACCCCTGAGCTTGGGTACTAGTCTAATGGCATACCTTTGAACCTTTTCCAGTTTCGTCTTGTGCTTGACTTGATAAGGGTTCCATGGTGGAGCTGTATACTCCAGTATTGGTCTGACATACGGTGTCTATAAGGTCCTAAATGATTCCTAACACACGTTTTTAAAGTCAGTGCTTATGTTGGCCAGTCTAGCATATTCTACTGATGATAGCATCTTGATGTGGGTCTCTCTCTCTCTCTCTTATCTCTGTCTCTCTCTCTCTCTCTCTCTCTCTCTCTCTCTCTCTCTCTCTCTCTCTCTCTCTCTCTCTCTCTCTCTCTCTCTCTCTCTCTCTCTCTCTCTCTCTCTCTCTCTCTCTCTCTCTCTCTCTCTCTCTCTCTCTCTCTCTCTCTCTCTCTCTCTCTCTCTCTCTCTCTCTCTCTCTCTCTCTCTCTCTCTCTCTCTCTCTCTTTCTCTCTTTCTCTCTTTCTCTCTCTCTCTGTCTCTCTCTCTCTCTGTCTCTCTCTCTCTCTGTCTCTCTCTCTCTCTGTCTCTCTGTCTCTCTCTCTCTCTCTCTCTCTCTCTCTCTCTCTCTCTCTCTCTCTCTCTCTCTCTCTCTCTCTCTCTCTCTCTCTCTCTCTCTCTCTCTCTCTCTCTCTGATTCACTCCGAGAGACAACCATCATTCCCTTTCTCACTCACCCTTCACCCACTGACTGAGCCTTAAGTTAGCGCCTCACCTGAGTGCATGAGTGAGCTCCTGACCCGAGCGCGTGACTGAGCGCCTCACCTGAGCGCGTGACTTGAGCGCGTGACTGAGTGCGTGACTGAGCGCCGTACCTGAGCGCGTGACCTCCCGCAGGTGACTCACACGACGCCAGCCTCACACGTGTCGTCCATGATCGAGGGGATGAGGTCAGCCCAGCCCGTCATCTGGTGGAAGGCCTTGTGCTACCACTACGCCCGCAGGTCCCGCCACATTACCCGCTACCGCAACGGTGACGCCTACACCAGCACCCAGGTACTCCTCCTCCACCCTGGTACACCAGCACCCAGGTACTCCTCCTGTACCCTGGTACACCAGCACCCAGGTACGCCTCCTCCACCCTGGTACTCCTCCTCCACCCTGGTACACCAGCACCCAGGTACTCCTCCTCCTGCACCCTGGTACACCAGCACCCAGGTACTCCTTCTGTACCCTGGTACACCAGCACCCAGGTACTCCTGTACCCTGGTACACCAGCACCCAGGTACTCCTTCTGTACCCTGGTACACCAGCACCCAGGTACTCCTCCTGTACCCTGGTACACCAGCACCCAGGTACGCCTCCTCCACCCTGGTACTCCTCCTCCACCCTGGTACACCAGCACCCAGGTACTCCTCCTCCTCCACCCTGGTACACCAGCACCCAGGTACTCCTCCTCCTGCACCCTGGTACACCAGCACCCAGGTACTCCTTCTGTACCCTGGTACACCAGCACCCAGGTACTCCTGTACCCTGGTACACCAGCACCCAGGTACTCCTCCTGTACCCTGGTACACCAGCACCCAGGTACTCCTTCTGTACCCTGGTACACCAGCACCCAGGTACTCCTTCTGTACCCTGGTACACCAGCACCCAGGTACTCCTTCTGTACCCTGGTACACCAGCACCCAGGTACTCCTTCTGTACCCTGGTACACCAGCACCCAGGTACTCCTTCTGTACCCTGGTACACCAGCACCCAGGTACTCCTCCTCCAGCACCCTGGTACACCAGCACCCAGGTACTCCTCCTCCAGCACCCTGGTACACCAGCACCCAGGTACTCCTCCTGTACCCTGGTACACCAGCACCCAGGTACTCCTCCTGTACCCTGGTACACCAGCACCCAGGTACTCCTTCTGTACCCTGGTACACCAGCACCCAGGTACTCCTTCTGTACCCTGGTACACCAGCACCCAGGTACTCCTTCTGTACCCTGGTGCACCAGCACCCAGGTACTCCTCCTCCAGCACCCTGGTACACCAGCACCCAGGTACTCCTCCTGTACCCTGGTACACCAGCACCCAGGTACTCCTCCTGTACCCTGGTACACCAGCACCCAGGTACTCCTTCTGTACCCTGGTACACCAGCACCCAGGTACTCCTTCTGTACCCTGGTACACCAGCACCCAGGTACTCCTCCTCCAGCACCCTGGTACACCAGCACCCAGGTACTCCTCCTGTACCCTGGTACACCAGCACCCAGGTACTCCTCTTCCACCCTGGTACACCAGCACCCTGGTACTCCTTCTGTACCCTGGTACACCAGCACCCAGGTACTCCTTCTGTACCCTGGTACACCAGCACCCAGGTACTCCTCTTCCACCCTGGTACACCAGCACCCTGGTACTCCTTCTGTACCCTGGTACACCAGCACCCAGGTACTCCTCCTGCACCCTGGTACTCCTCCTCCACCCTGGTACTCCTCCACCAGCACCCAGGTACACCTCCACCTTCCCCCTGGTACTACTCCTACACCAGCACCCAGGTACTCCTACACCATAGGAGTACCTTCAGTACTCAGCCTATAAAGTACTATAGGCTTCAGGTAAGTCCTCCTTCAGATAAGTCCTCATTATGTTTCAGCTTCTGCAGGTGAGTTATCTGTTTGACTTTATTTGATAAATTATTTATCAGTAAGGTGTTAAGGATTACCTTAAAGGGGTAACACTTAGCTTAACCCTTCGGCTGCTCACTTCAAGCTGTGAAGTAGTTCCCGCTGCACATTTGGTAGATCAAGCAAATCAGGAGTTTCACGCGTTGCCCCTATGCACTGTGGTTGTGGTTCAGGAGTTCTACCTCCAACGCTTCTCTTCAAATGAAACCCTCTTCATTGGGGCTTCAGTGGAAACCTCAGGACCCTTAGAGGATTTATTTGAATCCCAGATTGCATTACTTTTGACCATGTCAAGGTGTAGGGGCGTGGATGTGAATACCAAGTGTGTGAGTGTATGTATATGTGTGTTTAGAGGGAGGCAAGGGAGGACGAGTCTATTGTTACATGTATATATGTACTAGATACATATAAATATTCATATGCCTACATACAGTATACGTAACCCTCGGCGGCAGGTGTTCTACGAGAGAGTCAACTCCCACGCTGCGGGCACCTGCTTCCTCTTCTCTAACTGCGGGGTGAAGGATATCTCCAAGAAGCTCATCAACCTCTCCAAGTATTCCTACACCAAGATCAGGTAGGTGGAGGAGGCTGGGTGTCTGTCTCTACTTGTCAGTGTGCTCCTGCAGGAGACCCCAGCCACTTTGACTGGACGGTAGAGCGACGGTCGCGCTTCACGCAGGTCGGCGTTCAATCCCCGACCGTCCAAGTGATTAGGCACCATTCCTTCCTTCCGTCCCATCACAAATCCTTATCCTAACCCCTTCCCAGTGCTATAAAGTCGTAATGGCTTGGCGCTTTCCCCCCTTGATAATTAAAAAAAATCCTGCAGGAGACCATGTTGGGTTAGTGTGAGTTTCTCTTCCTCTCTCTCTCTCTCTCTCTCTCTCTCTCTCTCTCTCTCTCTCTCTCTCTCTCTCTCTCTCTCTCTCTCTCTCTCTCTCTCTCTCTCTCTCTCTCATTCTCAAGGTTGGCAGTCAATTTCCAGCATATGTTTTACTCTTTATCATAAAAATTCATTTCACTTTTGATTGGTAAAGTTGGAAAATACTTATTTGATCACGTTTTTCATCCAACGAACAACAGCATCTGTTTCATCCTGTGTTTTTTTTTATTCCGTGTTAACAGCTGGTGTTTTATCCTGTATTGACACAGGTGTTTTGTCCTGTGTTTACAACAGGTGTTCAGTGTTTCCAGGTCATATAAGGCATGTTTACATAGCCGTTGTGACTTGGAAATACTGAACCTTTGTGATAATGGTTACATTATGATATCTTTCGTCTTCACCTCTCTTGACCTCTATTGTTTATTTGTTACCATGAAATAAATAATAATTTGTACACATATATATATATATATATATATATATATATATATATATATATATATATATATATATATATATATATATATATATATATATATATATATATATATAACTGAAAACTCACACCCCAGAAGTGACTCGAACCCATACTCCCAGGAGCAACGCAACTGGTATGTACAAGACGCTTTAATCCACTTGACCATCACGACCGGACAAAATGAGGTGATAGCCGAGGCTATTTGAACCACCCCACCGCCGGCACTCGGATAGTAATCTTGGGCATAGCATTTTACCAAATCACCTCATTCTTTGGGGCACACGTGAGGAACACAAATGCGAACAAGCCTGAATGGTCCCCAGGACAATATGCAACTGAAAACTCACACCCCAGAAGTGAAGAGTTTTGTCCGGTCGTGATGGTCAAGTGGATTAAGGCGTCTTGTACATACCAGTTGCGTTGCTCCTGGGAGTATGGGTGCGAGTCACTTCTGGGGTGTGAGTTTTCAGTTGCATATTGTCCTGGGGACCATTCAGGCTTGTTCGCATATATATATATATCTATATATATATATATATATATATATATATATATATATATATATATATATATATATATATATATATATATATGTATATATATTATATATATATAATATAATAATATATATATTATTTGAATATATGAAACTGCTGCCTAAGGGGTGACGGGAGGAATTGTTTAATGTAATGGAGTTCACTTTATATTTATTGCGCTTTGCTATGGGAAAAAATATATATTTTTTTCGAATATCTTGAAATGTTTTATATGCGTAATATGTCAATGGCGATGGAGTGGAGTTAAATATTGAAATTTACTGTTCTAGGGTCACTGGGGGTCATCATGGTGCAAGGGTCACTGTGGGTCAACATGGTGCTGGGGTCACTGTGGGTCATCATGGTGCTGGGGTCACTGGGGGTCATCATGGTGCTGGGGTCACTGTGGGTCAACATGGTGCTGGGGTCACTGTGGGTCAACATGGTGCTGGGGTCACTGTGGGTCAACATGGTGCTGGGGTCACTGTGGGTCAACATGGTGCTGGGGTCACTGTGGGTCAACATGGTGCTGGGGTCACTGTGGGTCATCATGGTGCTGGGGTCACTGGGGGTCATCATGGTGCTGGGGTCACTGGGGGTCATCATGGTGCTGGGGTCACTGGGGGTCATCATGGTGCTGGGGGTCACTGGGGGTCATCATGGTGCTGGGGTCACTGGGGGTCATCAGGGTGCTGGGGTCACTGGGGGTCATCATGGTGCTGGGGTCACTGTGGGTCATCATGGTGCTGGGGTCACTGTGGGTCATCATGGTGCTGGGGTCACTGTGGGTCAACATGGTGCTGGGGTCACTGTGGGTCAACATGGTGCTGGGGTCACTGTGGGTCATCATGGTGCTGGGGGTCACTGGGGGTCATCATGGTGCTGGGGTCACTGTGGGTCATCATGGTGCTGGGGTCACTGTGGGTCATCATGGTGCTGGGGTCACTGTGGGTCATCATGGTGCTGGGGTCACTGGGGGTCATCATGGTGCTGGGGTCACTGTGGGTCATCATGGTGCTGGGGGTCACTGTGGGTCAACATGGTGCTGGGGTCACTGGGGGTCATCATGGTGCTGGGGGTCACTGGGGGTCATCATGGTGCTGGGGTCACTGGGGGTCATCATGGTGCTGGGGTCACTGTGGGTCATCATGGTGCTGGGGTCACTGGGGGTCATCATAGTGCTGGGGGTCACTGTGGGTCATCATGGTGCTGGGGGTCACTGTGGGTCATCATGGTGCTGGGGTCACTGTGGGTCATCATGGTGCTGGGGTCACTGTGGGTCATCATGGTGCTGGGGTCACTGTGGGTCATCATGGTGCTGGGGTCACTGTGGGTCATCATGGTGCTGGGGTCACTGTGGGTCATCATGGTGCTGGGGTCACTGTGGGTCATCATGGTGCTGGGGTCACTGTGGGTCATCATGGTGCTGGAGTCACTGTGGGTCATCATGGTGCTGGGGTCACTGGGGGTCATCATGGTGCTGGGGTCACTGTGGGTTATTATGGTGCTGGGGTCACTGTGGGTCATCATGGTGCTGGGGTCACTGGGGGTCATCATGGTGCTGGGGTCACTGTGGGTTATTATGGTGCTGGGGTCATTGTGGGTCATCATGGTGCTGGGGTCACTGTGGGTCATCATGGTGCTAGGGTCACTGTGGGTCATCATGGTGCTGGGGTCACTGTGGGTCATCATGGTGCTGGGGTCACTGGGGGTCATCATGGTGCTGGGGTCACTGTGGGTCATCATAGTGCTGGGGTCACTGTGGGTCATCATGGTGCTGGGGTCACTGTGGGTCATCATAGTGCTGGGGTCACTGTGGGTCATCATGGTGCTGGGGTCACTGGGGGTCATCATAGTGCTGGGGTCACTGTGGGTCATCATGGTGCTGGGGTCACTGGGGGTCATCATAGTGCTGGGGTCACTGTGGGTCATCATGGTGCTGGGGTCACTGTGGGTTATTATGGTGCTGGGGTCATTGTGGGTCATCATAGTGCTGGGGTCACTGTGGGTCATCATGGTGCTGGGGTCACTGTGGGTCATCATGGTGCTGGGGTCACTGTGGGTCATCATGGTGCTGGGGTCACTGGGGGTCATCATGGTGCTGGGGTCACTGTGGGTCATCATAGTGCTGGGGTCACTGTGGGTCATCATGGTGCTGGGGTCACTGTGGGTCATCATAGTGCTGGGGTCACTGTGGGTCATCATGGTGCTGGGGTCACTGTGGGTCATCATAGTGCTGGGGTCACTGTGGGTCATCATGGTGCTGGGGTCACTGGGGGTCATCATAGTGCTGGGGTCACTGTGGGTCAAATCATCAGGAGCCGTGCTCTAATAAAGCAAGATCTGTCCCTCGCTCTAACCTTTCCCTCTGTATTATAAGGTGAAAGTCTTGACTCCAGACAAGTGTTACGTATTAACTTTGAAGTATTTTCTTCAAATAGCGCCGTGGAGAGGAGGGAGACCTGCTGCATGGGTGACAGCTTCTCCCACGTGTCAACCTACCGTGGCTTTCCAGTTTCTCAAAGCAATTATAACAACTCTTATTGGATTTTGGCTTCGTAATGGGCTTAAGGCCTGTCAGTGCCGGGGGGAGGGGGGGGGATATTTAAGGCCACCACCATAGGTTCCTCACCAAGCCAGCAAGTGTAATCAGGTCGTTTAGAGCGTGCACCTGGGAACTCCCTGACGCATAGGTTCGAATCCTCATCACGGCTCCTGTGTACCAGCAAGTGTACTTAAAAAATGCTGCTTCTGGAAACGTTTCTTATTAAGACTACTCAATCGCTCGGTCGATATAGAGCCTTGGCCCCTCACACACGTGGGGTCAACGGTTCGAATCTCCTAGAGCCCAGGTGAATGTAAGTGTACTTAAGTCCTGAACCAAGTCCAGGGCTGAAGAGAAGCGAGGTACACCTCACAGTGTTGGGTGTACACGTTCCCCAGGTTACCTTGTCACCTCTTGGCCGTTTTCCGTCTTCGCTAAAAACTTTTATTATCTAGTGTTCCTTTCCCACAGTGTCCAGGCGACTGTGTTAACCACTGTTCCTTTCCCACAGTGTCCAGGCGACTGTGTTAACCACTGTTCCTTTCCCACAGTGTCCAGGCGACTGTGTTAACCACTGTTCCTTTCCCAGAGTGTCCAGGCGACTGTGTTAACCATTGTTCCTTTTCCAGAGTGTTCAGGCGACTGTGTTAACCATTGTTCCTTTCCCAGAGTGTCCAGGCGACTGTGTTAACCATTGTTCCTTTTCCAGAGTGTCCAGGCGACTGTGTTAACCATTGTTCCTTTTCCAGAGTGTCCAGGCGACTGTGTTAACCATTGTTCCTTTTCCAGAGTGTCCAGGCGACTGTGTTAACCATTGTTCCTTTTCCAGAGTGTCCAGGCGACTGTGTTAACCATTGTTCCTTTTCCAGAGTGTCCAGGCGACTGTGTTAACCATTGTTCCTTTTCCAGAGTGTCCAAGGGCTTTGCCTTCGCCAATCTGGAGACGGCTAATGAGTTTGAAGAGCAGAGAGCTCGCTTCTTCCAGGTAGGTTGAGATGTCCTTTGGCATTGTCAATAGATATGTTGTTATGAGAAGACCTTTCTGAGAAATTAAATATGTTGTATTATCTGATTTATACTCGAATCATCGGCCGGTTAAACATAATGTTTTCCAAACAAACATAAGGGCATGCTTGGAAACTTTAGCTTGAAAACAACAACACTGTTTTTGCTCGTTATATCCGATATATCAGCAACTAAAGTTTGTATAGAAGTCTTTTTGTAATAGTTCTCTCAACTATACGTGTGGTTTGGCAGCATCCTGCTGCCAAACGGGAATCACACACACGTGGAGTCCAGGGTTCGAGACCCATACAGACCAGGTGAATGGAGTGTTTATTTCCACGGAAGTGTGGATGGCAATTTATAGGAAACAGCTTCTGGAAGACAGGCGTCGTGGGGTGGACGGACTGGCCGTATTACATTGTCATCACTCACAATATAATCTCTCCAAGACTGACTTCTTCACATTGACTTCAGCCTTCACACGTTTGATTTCGTGTCAACAATATAACAACTTCGTCTGAACAACTTCGTGTAAACACAACGTAATATTAAGCCATCGCTGATGGCTTCCTGTTGCAAGGTGCAACATGTGGAACAATCTGTATATTATATGTTAACCAGTAAGGAAGCCTCAGTTGTAGCATTTGTTTTGGACATGTCTCACACGGAGTTTGCAATACCTTTAATGTACCATATTTTCTTATAATCAAGTGGTTCATTGTATAAAAACTTGCAGTAAACTGTTGCCTGGGGGGAATGATTGCGATGATTCCTTTTACAGTTTCGTGGTTTAGCGGTTTTTAATTTCCGGCGGAACAGTTATGCAAATGTAATTATGGTGAAGAGCAGTGAGGCCGTGTCGCCCTCACTGCTCTCACCTTCCTGACCTCACGACCTCACCTCCCTCACCTTTCTGACCTCACGACCTCACCTACCTCACCTTTCTGACCTCTGGACCTCACCTCCCTCACCTTTCTGACCTCTCGACCTCACCTTCCTCACCTTCCTGACCTCTGGACCTCACCTCCCTCACCTTCCTGACCTCACCTCCCTCACCCTTCAGACGTCACGACCTCTCACCTACCCGCCCTCACAAGTATGTCTTCATCGTGCTCGCCACAGGAGAACGAGCGCCGTGACGACTACATGGAGATGCGGGAGGGGCTGGACTTGACCAACGTCAACTTCCGGGAGTATGTGATCGCTCGGCGCGACACCAAGCGGCCACCTTGGTACAGCAGACACGGTGTCTTCTGGCTCGCTTCCCTCCTCATGCTCTCCTGGCCTCTGCGGCTCCTCATCGAGTACAACACTGCCTACGTTCACTACCAGGTGGGCACCCTACCCGCCCTCCACCAGGTGGGCACCCTACCCGCCCTCCACCAGGTGGGCACCCTACCCGCCCTCCACCAGGTGGGCACCCTACCCGCCCTCCACCAGGTGGGCACCCTTCCCGCCCTCCACCAGGTGGGCACCCTTCCCGCCCTCCACCAGGTGGGCACCCTACCCGCCCTCCACCAGGTGGGCACCCTACCCGCCCTCCACCAGGTGGGCACCCTTCCCGCCCTCCACCAGGTGGGCACCCTACCCGCCCTCCACCAGGTGGGCACCCTACCCGCCCTCTACCAGGTGGGCACCCTTCCCGCCCTCCACCAGGTGGGCACCCTACCCGCCCTCCACCAGGTGGGCACCCTACCCGCCCTCCACCAGGTGGGCACCCTACCCGCCCTCTACCAGGTGGGCACCCTACCCGCCCTCCACCAGGTGGGCACCCTTCCCGCCCTCCACCAGGTGGGCACCCTACCCGCCCTCTACCAGGTGGGCACCCTACCCGCCCTCCACCAGGTGGGCACCCTTCCCGCCCTCCACCAGGTGGGCACCCTACCCGCCCTCCACCAGGTGGGCACCCTTCCCGCCCTCCACCAGGTGGGCACCCTACCCGCCCTCCACCAGGTGGGCACCCTACCCGCCCTCTACCAGGTGGGCACCCTTCCCGCCCTCCACCAGGTGGGCACCCTACCCGCCCTCCACCAGGTGGGCACCCTTCCCGCCCTCCACCAGGTGGGCACCCTACCCGCCCTCTACCAGGTGGGCACCCTACCCGCCCTCCACCAGGTGGGCACCCTACCCGCCCTCCACCAGGTGGGCACCCTTCCCGCCCTCCACCAGGTGGGCACCCTACCCGCCCTCCACCAGGTGGGCACCCTTCCCGCCCTCCACCAGGTGGGCACCCTACCCGCCCTCCACCAGGTGGGCACCCTTCCCGCCCTCCACCAGGTGGGCACCCTACCCGCCCTCCACCAGGTGGGCACCCTACCCGCCCTCCACCAGGTGGGCACCCTACCCGCTCTCCACCAGGTGGGCACCCTACCCGCCCTCCACCAGGTGGGCACCCTACCCGCCCTCCACCAGGTGGGCACCCTACCCGCTCTCCACCAGGTGGGCACCCCACCCACCTGCCTCTTTTAGGCACCATAGTGAGATCTTGTCAGGATTTGTGACTTCCATAAATTTTTCTTCTGATAGAGCTTGTTCCATCAGAAGTAATAGATCTGCTTCTATCTTAAGAATTTCCTGAAAGCTTTTATTGAGTTCTTTGCACACTTCCTTATCATTCTCTGTGTAGCCTGGTCACTTGTTCATTTACCGACAAATTTCTCATGTGGCTATAGTTTACACTGATCCTTGGCTTTGGATGCTATATTGTTCTCATTTTGTTGTTCTGCTCCTCTCTACATTCCTATGTATTGTATAGGAATTCCCTACACTCTATGTCTTGTGAATGTTCAGTGTCCAGTGGTCACTGTATTTCTTCCATGCTCTTTTACTTCTCCATTTTGTCTCTAAGCATTGCCTCATCCTGTGTGTGTGTGTGTGTGTGTGTGTGTGTGTGTGTGTGTGTGTGTGTGTGTGTGTGTGTGTGTGTGTGTGTGTGTGTGTGTGTGGCGGCACGAGCACATTCGCCTAGATGTGTTTGTAGGGTCGGACGACAGCTGTTATGTGTTTAGGTCCGCCCCTTCCGCCTTTGTTGAAGCCTCACCCCCATGTAGTTTGTGGCACCAACCTCCTACCTTTTCAAGATTTCTCTAAGATTTCTTTCTTCTTTCAAGATTGTTTTTTTTTTGAGGTGAGGACGTCTGAGCTGTATTCTGTAGGAGTGGTGTCACGTAGATGGTGTACAGTGTTGTAAAGGCCTTCATATTCAGACTTTTATCGACTCTTCTAGTGTTCACCAGTTTAAAGTGTTCGAAGTGTTTTACCATCTTCTGTTCACGTGTTACTCTTTGGATAAGACTTGCCGTAATACTTAAAATCAAGCCTGGCCTCGGGTCGGGCTTGGGGAGTAGAAGAGCTCCCAGAACTCCATCAAGCTTGGCCTCGGGTCGGGCTTGGGGAGTAGAAGAGCTCCCAGAACTCCATCAAGCTTGGCCTCGGGTCGGACTTAGGGAGCAGAAGAACTCCCAGAACTCTATCAAGCTTGGCCTCGGGTCGGGCTTGGGGAGTAGAAGAGCTCCCAGAACTCCATCAAGCCTGGCTTCGGGTCGGGCTTGGGGAGTAGAAGAGCTCCCAGAACTCCATCAAGCTTGGCCTCGGGTCGGACTTAGGGAGCAGAAGAACTCCCAGAACTCTATCAAGCCTGGCCTCGGGTCGGGCTTGGGGAGTAGAAGAACTCCCATAACCCCATCAAGCCTGGCCTCGGGTCGGGTTTAGGGAGTAAAAGAACTCCCAGAACCTCATCAAGCTTGGCCACAAGTTGGGCTTGGGGGAGCATAAGAACTTCTAGAACCCCATCAAGCTTGGCCTCGAGTCGGGCTTGGGGGAGCAGAAGAACTTCTAGAACCCCATCAAGCTTGGCCTCGAGTCGGGCTTGGGGGAGCAGAAGAACTCCCAGAACCCCCATCAAGCAGGTACCCCATAGGTCGTTTATTTAGTTGGTTCAATATTGTGAATACCTTTCAGTATGTGGCGTTGTGCTGCTCGCCCGCCTGTCTTCCCATATGGATCACCATACACTACCTTGCGGTTATCTTGCGATGATCTCGGGGCTTAGCGTCCCCGTGGCCCGGTCCTTGACCAGACCTCCTGGTTGCTGGACTGGTCAACCAGGCACTTGGACATGGTCAACATGTATAATACACTAACTGATATTGAATTTCTGTAATTTCTTGGACCAACTCTGCAGCCAATATGTTTATTGTTTGTGATGTGTGTATATATATATATATATATATATATATATATATATATATATATATATATATATATGTATATATACGTATATATGTATATATACGTATATATATATATATATATATATATATATATATATATATATGTATATATACGTATATATATATATATATATATATATATATATATATATATATATATATATATATGTATATATACGTATATATATATATATATATATATATATATATATATATATGTATATATACGTATATATATATATATATATATATATATATATATATATATATATATATATATATATATATATATATATATATATATTAGTATATTTTGGTAGCAGTCTTTCCTGTAGACATATATTATTAAATATGACCGAAAAAGTAAGATTAATAATTCTAACACGAATTTTCTCAATCTTTCGTACATTACGCAGTAGAAAAACGTAGAAAAACGGCCAGCCTACTCATGAGAAACTCTCCAGACACAAAACAGAACGCTTTAAAAGAGACTAACGTCGTCTATGCCTTCAAATGCCCACTTGGGGACTGTAAGCTCCAAAAAACCCAGTATATAGGCAAGACAACAACATCTCTTTCTAGGCGTTTAACGATGCATAAGCAACAGGGCTCCATTAAGGAACATATAATCTCTTCCCATAACCAAACCATCGCCAGAGAAATCCTAGTAAACAACACAGAAATCATCGATAGATACAGCGATAGCAGGCGGCTTGACGTTTGCGAGGCACTACACATCAAGAAGTTAACACCAGCAATCAACAGCCAATTATTGCACAACTATATTCTACCCACCTCAAGACTCCGCTCCAATATAGAAGCATCAAGAAATATGGACCAATAGGCTTTCTACAAACACTTCTATTCAATACCCATTGTTTCTGTTCTGTCTTGTGTTGATACTTTTAATACCCTATTAATATCCCCTCCTGTTCTGTCTTGTGTTAATGCCACATCACCCTTCCCACCTCACTCAAATGTAGATATAATATCAGAGAGACGTAAGTTCTAATCAGTTGTGTATTTGTGAAGTCTTTGAAAATGTAATAAGTTTTACGAAACGCGCCCGTGTCGCGTCAGACTAGAAATAAAAATGAATTTTGGAGAAGTGATTTTTGATTTACCTCCAACAGTGAAGCGTAATGTACGAAAGATTGAGAAAATTCGTGTTAGAATTATTAATCTTACTTTTTCGGTCATATTTAATAATATATATATATATATATATATATATATATATATATATATATATATATATATATATATATATATATATATATATATATATATATATATATGTATATATATATATATATATATATATATATATATATATATATATATATATATATATATATATATATATATATATATATATATATATATATATATATATATATATATATATATATATATATATATATATATATATATATATATATATATATATATATATATATATGTATATATATATATATGTATATATATATATATATGTCGTACCTAGTAGCCAGAATGCACTTCTCGGCCTACTATGCAAGGCCCGATTTGCCTAATAAGCCAAGTTTTCCTGAATTAATATATTTTCTCTAATTTTTTCTCTATGAATTGATAAAGCTACCCATTTCATTATGTATGAGGTCAATTTTTTTTATTGAAGTTAAAATTAACGTGGATATATGACCGAACCTAACCAACCCTACCTAACCTAACCTAACCTATCTTTATAGGTTAGGTAGCCGAAAAAAGTTAGGTTAGGTTAGGTAGTCAAAAACAATTAATTCATGAAAACTTTGCTTATTAGGCAAATCGGGCCTTGCATAGTAGGGTGAGAAGTGCATTCTGGCTATTAGGTACGACATATATATATATATATATATATATATATATATATATATATATATATATATATATATATATATATATGCGGAAAATCCACAGAGAAATATGAAATGAGGTGAACGTTTCGGCTTTGTTAAAGCCTTTGTCAACACCAGACTGACTAAGGAGAAGGGAGAAGGGGGATATATAGGCCGACACCTGACCAAGCCATCCCTAGGGTTGGTCAGGTGTAAATAACCAAAAACAGGTATAGCTTAGCTTAGAATGGTCAAAGAGGACCATTCTCTTTGACCATTCTAAGCTAAGCTATACCTGTTTTTGGTTATTTACACCTGACCAACCCTAGGGATGGCTTGGTCAGGTGTCGGCCTATATATCCCCCTTCTCCCTTCTCCTTAGTCAGTCTGGTGTTGACAAAGGCTTTAACAAAGCCGAAACGTTCACCTCATTTCATATTTCTCTGTGGATTTTCCGCATAAAATGATCAGTGTTTTGTGATCGTCAATTGCATATATATATATATATATATATATATATATATATATATATATATATATATATATATATATATATATATATATATATATATATATATATATATATATATATATATATATATATATATATATATTATATATATATATTTATATATACAGTGTATATATATATAATATGAACACGTTCTACTGAGCGGGGTGAGAATAGCTTGAGCTACCTCATCTCTTTGTGTGTATTTATGCCTCAATAAACTTATTTCAATTTCAAAACTGTGCAGTGACTCTTGGTCTTCCTGGGGTATTGTGCTCTCTTAATCTCTTCTTCTGATTCCTCTTATAATTGTGAAGCTTTAGCAAACCAAAACATGCAGAACACCGCCTCTATGGTTAGTGTCTTTATTACATATTTTATTCGTTATTTGAAATTAGATGCAGGTTTAGGGTAGTAGCCTGAAGTGTATTGTCTGCTGTCTCCGGTTTGTGTATATTAGCATTATATTGGTCGTTGTCCAATTTTCAGGTAGTTTTCCCTGTTGTTTTTACATAGCATAGTAAGTGACCATCAAAGGGCTTCAACTCCCCTCCTTAGCATCTATGGTGAGATTTGTCTAGGCCTATTGCACTAGTCCTGTTTTTACTTCAACGCGTGCCGTAATTAGTGTCTTTATAAAAATATAAAAATTACTATACCTACTAGGTAACCACTGTACTCTGATCCTCTGTGTTTTTATCAGTAAAATATTATTATATTAATATTATTGACATATTGTTATCGTTGTGTGTGTGTGTGTGTGTGCTTACCTTTGAGTTCTAAGATAACACACTTTGCAAAACTGATCTTCAGCCTTTCCCGTTATAGATTATCTAATGTAATGATCCCCGACTCCTTCGTTTCTTGTCATATCTGCTTTTAAATCTATGGATAGATGTAGCCCCTATATTTGTCCCCCCGTCTACTTGATTCCGCTTGATTACTTCTGTGTTGGAGAGCGTGTCCTCAGAGCCCTGTGGCTCCTCTGCATGTGTAGCATCCGGGCATGTCGTCTCGTTACGCTGCTGTTCAATCCCATGCATGCTGTCTCTTCTATTCCAGCGTTACTACCCAGTATTATTTACGTCAAGTTCATATCCCTCGCAATTTTGCCCTCCATGCACTGGCATTAGGTTCAGTTCCCTCAAGCATTCATAAATGCAGAGCTTCTGGGAAACACTGCATCTTTAACGATGCTGGAATTTGTTTGCAACAATGCAAGTATAACGGGTTTTCTACCTTGGCACCTTCCTCTATCTCAACAATTTTGTTAAAGTTACCATCAGCATTTATTTATTTAGTTATTTATTTATTTATTTAGTTATTGATTTTTTACGTTTATCGGTGTGTGAAGTGTATGATGTTTGCTGGCAGGTAACGAAGCTGTTCGGTGTGAACTATACCACGCCGGTGAGCGGTGGTCGGGCGTCGCGCGGCTCAGCCACCACTGACAGCCACGACCTGGAGCTGACCATCGCCAACAATTGCACCCTCATCCCGTCGTACAGCGAGGCGCTACTCATGGAGGTCGGAGCGATGGCCGCCGCCGTCCTCACTCCGGCTATCGATGCCAATGGCAACATCCAGAATGGCGGGGAAAGTCTACCGGCGGCGGCGTCGTCGGCGAGCGTCGGGTCGGAACTGGCGCCAGGGTCCTCGACGGGTGCAGCAGCATCCAGAACCTCGCTACACAACGGCTACATCCTCTACCACCCTTCCCCGCTCGAACCCTGCGTTCCCGCCGACCCCTTCCAGGGTCGCCGACGGACCACCCCGACAGAGGCTCCACCGACATACGACGACGCATTGAGGGTGTCGGCGCCGCTGCTGGGGACGATGTCGCCGTCGCCGATGCGAAGGTCGCACACGGAGCGGGACATCCCCTCCACCCCTCGCCTGGCGCTCCCCAGACACTCCTACCACTATGATCTTGAAACGCAGCTATGACCGCCGCTTGTGGCTGGCGCCCGACGTCTTTCCTGCCCCACCTGGTCGTGCAGGGTCAAGCCGGCTACCCACACCCACTTCCACACCCACACCCACATCCACACTCACGTGTACCCACACTCTTGTAATCACTTGGAAAGCTCGGTTGTTTAACGCCAAAATCATACGCAACAGTATAGAAAATTTGTATTTATAAATATGGTTTATTCTACTGAAAGCTACATTTATGCATGTATTCATTCACGCATACGCGATACGCACATTAACCAGCATGCATATACCTGCACATATGCTTGCATGCACATATGTATGCATACGGACATAGGTCGGAAAGTTAAAATTGCGGCCGTTTGATGACTTCAGTATCGATGACATTTGCATTACATTATATCATATACTAACACACACACCCACAAAAATTAGTTGATTGACAGTTGAGAGGCGGGCCCAAAGAGCCAGAGCTCAACTCCCGCAAGCACAAGTAGGTGAGTACACACACACACACACACACACACACACACACACACACACACACACACACACAGTCGGTAGATAAAGACAGTCTATTTAACACAAGGGGCACACGCACAAGGGGACACAGGTGGAACCTGAGTGCCCAAATGAGCCACAGAGATATTAGAAAGAACTTTTTTAGTGTCAGAGTGGTTGACAAATGGAATGCATTAGGAAGTAATGTGGTGGAGGCTGACTCCATACACAGTTTCAAGTGTAGATATGATAGAGCCCAGTAGGCCCAGGAACCCGTACACCAGTTGATTGACGGTTGAGAGGCGGGACCAAAAAGCCAGAGCTCAACTCCCGCAAGCACAACTAGGTGAGTACACACACACACACACACACACACACACACACACACACACACACACACACACACACACACACACACACACACACACACACCACAACACACAGCCTCACACTGCACACAGTTTAATGAACTCAACACCGGAACCCGTAACTAGCCAGGAACAGCTGCTGCTGCTGCAACATGTCAACGCAAGTTGAAAGGGTAAATATATCACTTTTTGTAACATTGTTTACACTTGTATTCAATTTTGGTATAAAATTTGTTGAGTGGAATGCTTTTCAAGTTTTTGAAGTTTAAGAATATACTCGTTGTTTTAAAGAGCAGCAGGAGTACTTAGATTTCCTTTGGTTAACAAGCATCACTTGGCATTTAGGATTAAATATAACTTGCGGCCTCCAGTGTTCAATAAGGCTGGAGGCGCCATTGTCTATTGAACAATATAAAACTAACAAACTAAATACCCGTCTGAAAAAATTGCACAAAGAAATATGTCAGGGAAACGATAAAAACAAATTCCTTGTAAAGCAGTGGAGAAGTTTGGCAGACAGACGTCTGTATTAGACTATACTACTTTCTGGGGTTAATGCACTACGACTCGTAGGCCTGCTTCCTTAGCCACAAAAGTCAAGATGATATTTATGTGTGATTTGAACGCCTACTTCTATCAACCAACTTTTCACCCTGGACTGTCCCGCTACACAAGTGTGTTGTCCCGCTACACAAGTGTGTTGTCCCACTACCATCACACTGAACCTGCAGGAATATCACCGCGTGTTTTATAACTGGTGCTGTAAACATGACCTATCACCATGGTATTTCATTGTTATTGACATGTCTGCCAAATGAGGCAATACTATTGTTAAAAAGCGTACAGTAGACTACAGCTCAGCTTTCGCCACAGTACATGTGTACTGTGGCGAAAGTACACTTTTTGCCACAGTACAGCTCTCGCTGTACTAAAATGGCGACAAATTTAGTTTGTTATTGCCAGCCTCTGTCGTCGCTCTTTCATAATGGCGCGAGGCATTGTTAGAAGCATCGTTTGGCTGTTTTTGATGCTGTTTGAAACGCTTACTGTCCGGTGTTGAGTGGAACGCTTAAGTGTCTTGTGCTGAGTTGGGCGCTTAGTGTATGGGGTGAGGTGCGCTTATTGTGTCCGGTGCTGTGTGGAGCACTTTGTGTCCGGTGCTGTGTGGAGCACTTTGTGTCCGGTGCTGTGTGGAGCACAGTGTAATATACTGTGCACAATATGCACTGAGCTGTAATATATCTGGAGATAATTCGTGTGGATTTGTGTTGAAAATCGGCGGCCATATTGGAGCACCTTATCTAACGCCAAATGCTTTGAAGGTTTGTAATGTTCTCTAACACAGTTATCCATTTGCTTTTCAATTGGCTTATTTTCATATAAAAAAATAGTTATCATTCTTAAAATACTTGGAGATTAAAATCAATCAGAAAGACAATAATAGATCGTATTATAAATACATTTAACTGTGTTTATGTTTTTAGGTCTAATAAGATTAACGTTGTTGTTATTGGATGACATATATATGTCTATCATCATTTTTTCAATAGACGTGTGTTCGATTTATTTTACATTTTTGTTCCAATGTCAAATTGAATGACCTCTGGTACTAAGTCAGTTTGACCCTGTTACCACTCACACCTATCATACAACCACGCTGCTCTACATTATTTTGGATGTGTTAAGTTAGGGGGGAGACCTGCTGCATGGGTAACAGCTTCTCCATATCGACCTATCCTGGCTTTGCGCCCTGGAGAGGCCACTCTAGCCTCGACAACCAGAGCCCAACTCCCCACTCTCCTGAGACTGATGGAGGCCTTCTAAGTTAGATTAGATTTATTATGGTTCGATAAATATTAAATTATATTAGGAAGTTAGATTGATATCGCTTTATTTGGTTAGCAAAGAGTCTTGACAAATTCGGTAACTGAAGTGAATCCGTCGTTGACTTTACTCTCGATACCCTCAACTGACTTTGGCATCCTACTGGGTGTATTAGGAACAGGTTTGGTAACGTTAGGTCTAGGTTAGCTTTTGATATATATTAATTTAGTCTTGTTATTTTAGGCTAGGAGAAAGTTGGTAAAAAGGCAGCCAGAAACCCCAGCTTTGAAAAAAAAATGCCCTATCCTCTTCATCATTTAATGACTGGGATATTCGCAGTGATGGGATATGGTGTAAATCATGTCACAGGAATGGGAAAAGTGACCTTTATTACTGAGTGAAATAAAAACCCTAATGACGCTTACCTATCATAATCAAAAATTCAAATTCAAAATTCAAAATGTTATTCAGGTAAAAGTACATACATAGAAGATGAGCTACAAACATAATGTTGGATTTATAGATAGAGCTAGTACATGCAATACCTACAGCCACTAATACGCACAGCGTTTCAGACATTACCACGAATGCTGCATAATCCACGGACATTACCACGAATGCTGCATAATCCATGAACAACAACTGGATGCTGCACATCCATGGATACAGTTGACGAGTCACTCGTTTACAGAATTTAGAAACGATGAGGAGATAGATATCTTCTTAACTTCTAAGTAAAGTTTTAAGATAAAGGTCATTCTTATCCCTTTCTGGTGATATGCGATACACAACACTCCTTAACGTAAACACTTTTTTAATATTAAAAACGAAATCCCTTAAACTGTTTTGCTTAATTTTGTCTTGCATACGATGGCTTCACAAGTGCCAAAAAATTTTTAATATATCATTTTGTATGAAAAGTTGTTTTCCTATCAAATATGGTTACCTACAGGTTTACCCCTTCGTGCAAATTTTAGGGATTTATATACAAAACTTAATTATCTTGTTTTATAGTGTTATCACCAATTGACGTTAGTGTCAATGTGGTGATACCTTACCTTCAGGTGCTTCCGGGGCTTAGCGTCCCCGCGGCCCGGTCGTCGACCAGGCCTCTGTGATGTGAATAGTTATATGACTGTTGATACGTGTCGCAGCCTAAAGGTTAAATAATAGTGGTGAATTGTAATAGGGGGAGCTTCTTGATCTGAATACCGTCTATCTTGAGATGATTGTAAGACCTATATACAAGAATTGTAAGACCTGTATACAAGATCTTACACGGAGTGTAAGACCTACATACAAGATCTTACTAGGATTGTAAGACCTACATACAAGGTCGCACAAGGATTGTAAGACCTACATACAAGGTCGTACAAGGATTGTAAGACCTACATACAAGATCTTACAAGGATTGTAAGACCTGTGTACAAGATCTTACAAGGATTGTAAGACCTACATACAAGATCTTACAAGGATTGTAAGACCTGTGTACAAGGTCTTACAAGGATTGCAAGACCTATATACAAGGTCTTACAAGGATTGTAAGACCTGTATACAAGTACATAACTCACTGGGGCAAACATTTGATGCATACTGCCACTCCTGAGGGTAAGGTTAAGGGCCCTGTGCTCTTACCCTTTTGATGTGATCCAACGGTTGACTCTACCCATCAACTTAATCTTGTGAGACCTGGTGCCAAATTCACGAAGCAGTTACGCAAGTACTTACGAACGTGTACATCTTTCCTCAATCTTTGACGGCTTTGGTTACATTTATTAAACAGTTTACAAGCATGAAAACTTCTCAATCAACTGTTGTTATTATTATAAACAGCCTCCTGGTGCTTCGGAGCTCATTAACTGTCTAATAATTGTAAACAAAGCCGTCAAAGATAGAGTAAAGATGTACAGGTTCGTAAGTGCTTGCGTAACTGCTTCGTGACTCTGGCTCCTGTAACTGATGTGTCATTGTTACAGGCATGTGTCCAGGGTCATCCAGTTCTTAATTATACATTACAGAAAATCAGTAACTGGCGAAATGGATTTCGAGCGAATTTAAGCAGCAGAAATAAAGTATTATTTTAGTATCCATAATTTTGTTGCGTTATGTCATTAAATAATTTGCAGCTTTAAGTGTTAGCACTAAGTATCACCTTCATGAGTATAATACGACTTTATCTAGCTCAGGTGAAAGCAATAATCCTTTCAAGATGTTATTGATTTCCTTAAAGATTTAGAACAAGGTCTTTTAAGCATACAATTATGGTCATGGAGCTCGAATATGGGCGTCTACATTTCTTTTAATCAAGTTTTGTTTTAGAGGTACTGAGAAACCTTCTGGCGTCAAACATGCAGGAAGAATTACACCGAGACTGGCAGTCGGCGTGAGCGCTTCCGCCCCTTTCAAGGAACATCGTCGGTCTAATGAACCAAGGGGAAAACACGAGGCAACATTAAGTCAAATAGGTGCCAACTAGCCAAGAAACAACACATTAATATACACACAAATCACAATAGCGTGATATATCACATGAACAAATCCACAGGGGCCGTGATAAAGGTTCGAACCTACGCACGGGAGGTTCCCAGACGCGCCTTGGTCAACTGTGCCACGACATGGAATCCCGTGCTTAGGCTCGAACCCTCATCACGGCCCTTGTGGCTTTGTTCAACACCATTAACTAAACCATGGACAATATCAATTCTCTTATATATCAAATATAAATATAAGAAATATAAATTCTCCTATATTTCTTATATACAGTTTTGTCCATGGTTTACTTAATGGATGTTGTTTATTGGGAAGTTGGCACCCATTTGTCTTAACTAGCCG